TATAACATATTGAATAACAACTAATATTTATATTATAATAGTATTATAGTAAATAAAATAATTTATTTTTTACTTTAATTTTTTAATGATTTTTGTTAACATATATAATATAATCTTTTTATACATTTTCGGAATGTTATATAAATATTACATAACATGTCAGTAGTAAGTTAAATACAGATATTGCTTAAAAAAATATATTTGGGAAAAAGATTCTTTGTTAATATTATATACAAAATGAATACCAAATTTGTTACTATGTTTTGGAGAACCTATATCTAAAATTCTACTTACTTTTTTGTTACAGATACAAGACTGTTATGCTGAAAGTAATATAACTCTGCACAAAATGTTGACAGTAATGTGTCCAAACTGTCGTCACCGGTTTCCAGCTCCAGGTTGTTGTGAACCACAAAACTTAGACAAAAATAATGGTTTAATTCACCCAACAACCTGTTATTATGGTGGTCTTCTGGTTCCTAAAGGATATACCAGTGGTGGTGGCTGTTTTATAAATGCTCCTACTATTATTCATAGTCAGCCCATTATTAATTCTTTTAATCACCCATCTGCGGCATTTGATTTACAAAAACCAAGAATTGATAAACAAAAAGATATTTTCGTACAAAGATCTGAGAAAGATACTAATAGACTTCATGGATTTCCAATATTCAATCAAGAAATTGAAAAAAATCAGAATTCTGGGAGTCAAATCACAACAAGCTGTGACTTGGCAGGAGGTAGTGTAACAATAACAACACCAAGCATACAATCTGGAGGTTGCTTAATTCAAAGTACAGACGCTGGAATCCTTATGCAGACACCGCACATGGAAATCCGTCCAAAATTATCTGGTGGTGGCTGTTTTGTACAAAAAATGTTAGCAACTGAAAATCAAGAAGTTCCAATTGCACTTTCGGAACAAAAAACTCAACAAGAAAGTACAGAACGAGACAGTAGAATGTTTCTGTTACCTCCAAGTGGGTGTCAAGAATTACCCGGGATTCGAAGAAACATCTTACCTCAGAAAACAGATGTAGAAACTACAATAGGAAATTTTATGGGAGGCAGTAGTGAAGAAAAATTAAATTTCTCTAATTTCCAAGCTAATACTGTGCCTGCAATGCACACTCAACAAACCAATAAATCTGATAAAAACGAGCAAAGAGCAGAACCAGGAAAAAATTTCAATTGCTGTTGCAGTCATATGAAAAATCTTTATCATGTCAAATCAAACAATCCTCCTCCAGTGACAGAAAATCGTAATTCTGTACTTTTAGATTCTAATCCTGGAGTTCAAATTCAAGTAAATGCTACGGTACAACTTCCTGCAAGTTTAGGCCAGTGTACAGTAAACATTACAGCTACTACTACAAATTCTCCGAATTCTGTGTCAAGCATAGCTTCAAAAACTAGAAACAATTTTAATGGTGGAGGTTTGGTACAAAAAGCTGAAGTTGAAGACAATGAAGAACACTATGAAGAAAGAAGAGACAGAACACCAACTACACCAGTCTCATGGCTTATGCCTTGTCCCTGGAGTTTCGATAGTTATGTGATCGATAGAGATGCAGCTAGACTTTGCGAAGTCAAAAGACTTTTACAAACATGTGGATGGTATCATGAAGGTCTTAGTTGGCAGCAGAGTGAAAACTTATTGAAAAAAGCTGCAGTGGGACGATGGTTAATGAGGGACAGTTCGGATAGTAGATATACATTTGCTATATCTGTACAGACTGCTAGGGGACCTACCTCTGTTCGAGTTCACTATTTTGTAGGACAGTTTCGGTTAGATGCCGAACCTAGACTTGCTTTTGCTATCCCACTTTTTGATTGTCCAATCAAAATGTTAGAATATTACGTGGAGTATTCGAAAAGTGTTGATGAACATAGGAAAGAAGTTTGGGTAGACTATAGTGGCCAACTTTATAGCGAGATTTATTTGACAAAACCTTTAGTTAAGGAAGTTAGGTCTCTTAGTCATTTAGCTAGACTCGTCATTAATAGGTACAAATTGCCTACAGAACACATGCCACCACTCATTAAAAATTATCTTGCTGAATATCCTTATACTCTTTGAAAAATAATATTTAACATGTTTTTCTGATTCCTGGATGATAAAACTTTAAAGTTTATTTAAAATAATACGTCAATAAATTAATTATGAATTACTATATCGGATTAATATTTATTTTCAGCATTTCATTTAAAATTTTATTTAGCAGAAATAAAATGTTTAGTAAAACATTTTAGTTTCATCAATTAAGTACAAAAAAAATTACAGAATAATAGTTCCAGAAATCAGAATTACTGAAAAATATCTTTATTTTTATACATTCTATCGTTACTTCTATCGAAATTTGTATGTTCGATGTAATACGAAACACATGGTATAACTAGTAGAACACCGAAGGCTACAATTTCATAAATTTGATCAACAATTGAGGACAGTGGGCCATATTTGACAAAAGAAATACGAAACGATAACGATTTTGAAAGACGAAAGTGTGTATAATTGCTTTCGTAGTCAGCAAAGCATAATATTAAACGATTGATTATTCGACCGAGTTTTTTTATCGTTTAGAATCTTCATGAAGAACAGGGTACCATTTACATACCCTGGTTGGATTAAACTAAATTTTACACGGTTTTTCAATCAATAATACTTAGAGGAACAATGTGGTCTTAATTTTTCGATAGCATTCTCTAGCAACTCGTTGCAGGAAAAAATTAATTGAAAATTTTGTATTATTAGCATAAATATTATTATTTTAGAAAGATAAATAAACAGTTCCAAATTATTCTTTTTATGCAATAGTTTAACATGAAACTCGGTCGTTTTTGATATTTCGTGGGCAATGGTTGGCAATGTGTGTTTATAATTGCAAATCATTGCTCTGCACTGAAACTGTTCAAGAACAGGAAGCATGATATTAAATCGGCTGCAATGAAGGAATTATAAGGCAGTATTAGAATTTAAAGCATCGATTTGACTCTTCATTTCCTAATAAAAGTGATAACATAATTACGTTAGCAAATAATGTTTGCAGAAATTATTATGAATGAAAGTATACATATGTATAAAATAATTTCATAATGTGAAAAATTTACAAGTGAATGTTATTGATACAATTTGTGAAAGTACATCTAAACCAGCTTAAGTGACCGACCTACAGACGATCAAGCATACATGTTTTAATAATTGTACTTGTACAAACATTTGAATGGTGTTTATACATAAAAGTTGCTAAAGTAATTGGAAAGTAATTGAATAGCTTTCATGTGTTGGAAAGCCAGCTTTTATAATTGTAATATCATCATATTGTATTCCTGATACCTGATTATGATAAATATTAAATATGCTTGATTGCCTGTGAACTATTTTATTAAATGTAGTTTACTATTAAAAAGTATTGAGTGTAAAGAAAGGAAAAAATTTTGAATGTAACGGTCGTCATCGTATGTACAATTTGATAACCGAAAGGATAAATATTTCATAGTTAGGTTTTATAAAAGAGAAAACTTTTCGGATGAAAAAGTCAGTGGTTTCAGAAACGAAGAGTTGAACTTTGCAGAAGAATCAAACGCTAAATTAATTTAATTCTTGTTATGTATTAGCAAATTTCTTCAAATGTATGTGAGCGTATGTAAGTATGATCGCGCGCGTGTAATAGAAGCAAATTTATGATGTGTGTATGTAAAAAAATACCTTTGTATGCGTATGTATAAAAGTAAGGAGGGCGATCAAAATGTTACAATACCTACAGTCGATATATTTTTCTAAATAAGAATCGGCGGCCTTTTCAAAGTAAACAGAATTTTTCTAATAGGAAATATTATATAGGGTGTTTCAAAAATCGTTCCCTCCGTAAATAAAATTATTCAATGAAATTGCATTAGTAAACACTTTTGCTATATTACAATGCTGCATTTTTTAATAAAGTTCATTACTTTTTAATTGGGGCACCCTGTATAAATTAATACAGAATTGCTTGTTCATTGTCTCTATATTAGAGATGACTTTTTAACTTTAATCGGTATATCTACCCTTCGTAAACAGAATATTCAATACGAAAGGACTACTTTCTGTATTAGTCATAAATAATATTTATTTTGATATTTAGAAGAATCTTAAATAAAATTGTTTTACGATTATATATATAGTATACAGCTTAAAACACTTATAGTAAGCTTTGAATTTTTAGAAGCTCAATTAGTAAATTTTAAAAGTAATTGCGGGCAACGGGTAAGATCGCTGAATGTTTAACAATACTACAAATATTATGTTGTATAATGCATTTATCGTAACGGCCCGAATAACCTTCGCGGTATTTTTACTAACATTATAGAGCAAAATTAAGTATTAAAAGGAATGTAGAAACTGTCATTACAAGTTAAAAATTCAAAACCATACAATATTGTGATCTTGAATAACTCCGAATCTCAATATTTATATGGAAGGTATACCTATTATTCTACTTTAGTAAGTATCTACAGGAAAAAACATCGGTAAACATACTATATATATATGAAATTCAAGATCACAATATTTAGAATATTAATTTAATTTTTGCATTAAATATAATTTTAGAAATAACTGTCTTTAACTAAAGAACTTAAAATTATTGATGAAAGGTAAGGTGTCCTTATTAAAATTTAATGTTTGCTCTAAAATTTTCTGTATTTAATATTTTCCAACGTAAATACTCGGAAGTTGTATTGACCGTTACGATGAGTTTTCATTAGTAGACGAATACAAAGATGTAGTGGAACATGAATGTAAGGAATGTTAAACTATTATTAACAACGTCGTATAGAATTGCACTTTTTCCATTAAGTTACCCTTTTAACACTACCTTTTGCCTGCATACATGAAACAGCCCATATTGCCTACCGAGCGCTAGTTATTAATATTTTACAATTTTCAATACTTCTGCGCTATTTCGTAGCTGGATTGCGAAGGGTTAGCTAATTTCGATTTTTCCAATTCTAAGAGTCGAATCGAAGGCGTGTTTATCGTTGAAAACTGCCACTCAGCAAATTCTGCGATTTCGAGTTTTATATTGCGATTATAACAATGTATAATATGACACGAGTTAAGTTATTAAATGATTATTTATTACCAGTAAGTGTTCATGCAATTTTATTCCTACTCTGGTTTCCTTTAAAGAATAGAATTTTTTGTTTACCAATAAGTTACATATTTATTTTTCTCAATTTTGATCTAATATATCATTGTCATCGTTATCAACATTTTATCCGAGAATTTTCAATAATTGCCATCATAATAATTATAATTTTGCCATAAATGATTTTAATATATTAAATAAATAAATAACGTATTTTATGTAAACAGAAGGTATACATTTGTATCTATAGTTGTATGTACGAATATATTTGATATGTTTAAATAATTTATTACTTGCGGTTTCAAAAATATTGAAGAATAGATATTCTGTTATTAATATCTATGATGACTATTAACTATTCAAAAATGCATGAGTATTGTAAATCTATTCAGAATGATTGAATAGAAGGATATAAACACATTTGTATTTACGTTTGTATCTTAAATAATAGATTGCATAAGCAAAAGGCAATGTTTTTCAATCACAAGCGAGTAACTGATTTAAAGCTTACGAATGAAATTTCTAACTTAATATTTATACAATTAAAATAAAGTTACTAATTAACAGCAGCCGTATATATGCAGTACTAGCAGATAGATTTGTACAATGCACTTTATATTTATACGTTCCTAAACGTATTAAATTATTGACTGTTTCGAATCGTCATTACAGATAAAAACATTAATCGAGTGCATTTTTGAACGCTTTTCCTACCATTATACAAAGTTCATATTCTGTTTCTATGCACCTCTGTAGTATTAATGTCTGATAACCTCAGCGATAATGAGTTGCAGTGACGCTGTGAAAAATTACGAATATTTTTGATAAAAACTAATTCATGGAAAGTGAATTAACGCGAACGTTAAGTATTTGACTTGATAGTCGAACTTGTGAAATAGAAAATCAAGTTCGAAAAGGAATAACAATGTTAAGTAGTGTATTGTTGAGTTTCTCAAATGCCCTAGGGACTTCTGAGGATGCACTTCGACTTCTTATCTCCATTTTACTTGGTAATTGAATCAGTCACCAAAATAACATGATTTGCCACTTCTTTCCGAGACTTTCTGTACTATTTTTATACATTATTGGAATCCATTAACCTATAATCTCAATACATTTGCTTTACTTAATCATTGATTACATAATCAATTTGTATTCAATTTTTTGTTAATATTAATCTGCTGAATTCTTGCATTCCCCAATCTACATATTCATTCAATTTCCTAACTTTAATGGTGATGATAAAATTTGGTGATGGCTCAGAATATGTAGAAAAGGTTACCTACACTTCATATGTTTCACTCATGCGCATAGAATAAGCTTCCACTTCGCTCCTGGAGTTAATGATAACGTTGATATACATACATATATATATATATATATTATTAACAGAAACAAATACTTGTACATTATGGGGGTGAATGTATTTTATTCTGTTCATTGTTCTTTGTACAGAGATGATTGCCATATAATTTGTAACGATTGTGGAAAACAAAAAATAAACGTTTGTTATGATTCATTCGTTTGACTTTTGTGTGGCAATATTCCATTCTTTCTATTTGGTTATTATACGATTCAACGTTGCGATATTAAGACTAATAAATTCATTTTAATAAATTATATAAAAATAACATGACCTTCTCGTAAATTTTTCCTACCTTTTACTCAACAAAAAGTTGGTGATTTGTTTATTGGTAGTCTTTCAAATGTTTTTACTTAATATTACAATAATAATTTCAGCAAAAAAAACTTACTGTTCCTTTATTTCCCTTTTCGTACAATTTTTTACCCTTTCCTTGTTTTGTAACAGTAATTTGCGAACAGTAATGTTCGTAGGATTATTAATTGAAGTAAGATGATGAATGTTAATGCAGTTCATTGGAGATGAATGCAGTTTTAAAAATGTATTTCCATTATACGCTGTGATGCGAAACGTTTTTCACATTATTCATCTTTTGCTTTTGTTTTACACGTAATTAGATACACGTTACGAAGGTGATCAGAATTTTAAGAACAATGCCAGTTAATGCGTCATATGTGCTTAATCGAATTGTAATTGTTTTGTATCATATACAGATTTTATTCTTAGCACGTTGGTGCGATCTGCGTACCGTATTATGTAACATGCGTAAACAAATTGATTGACAACTGTTCGTTCACCTGGAAAGATCTGTTCATAAAATGTTAATGCATCTAAAAATGTTCAATACACTATCTGCTTATGTAACTTGACAAATATTGGAATAATGTTGAATTCATAGTGTATTCAGAATAATATTAATACGATAGTTTGCATATGGTTTTTCTGAGAAATTTTAGCTTTAAAATTTCTTCACGTGTATGAAATGTGTCGTTGTTTTGTGAACTTAAAAATCATTGAGCGTGAGACTGAAAATATGAGTAAAGAAGACTAATGTTTCAAGAACTGAAAGTAATGAAAATGCTACTACTAACATCAAATCACAAAGTGTACATTAAATTTTGTGTTTTAATCACGACTGTTTTATGGATTCGAAATTTGCGTTTTAACAAAATAGAGTGATAATGGAAATGTAATTGAACTTTCAGGATTTCCCATCGCCCTTCTTCACAGGTACACACTGTACGGGAAAAGTCCGGTATCTCAGCACTTACTTTTCATAAGTTCCGGCCTTTTGCTTTGCTACTGGAATTACGGTAATTATTTGCGTTCTAATTTTTTACTTATTTAGATATTGTTTAGGGAAATGAATTTCAGATCACGATAGATTTTATGAAATATTCCTTAATTTCCTTGCGTTCAATATGACCTGCGAATCGATATAAAATACGAAATGATTGAAATTTTTTGTGGATGAAGCAATACATTATATAATGTTAAAATTAATTATATTTCAGTTAAAACTAACACTGGCCTGCAAAATTTAGCTTTTTTTTGTTACAACAGGTTTAATAGTATTTCTTATACTGAATTTAAATATGCAATCTATTTTTCTTCATCACTCTCAGTTGTTGAGAAAATCAATTTTGAAGAAAAATTCAAATTTTCACCTTTCGACATTTCTGTGTCTTAATACTGAAAATTTCTCAAATTTTTCTTACACAGTATTATTCTATGATCCTCCTTAAATACAATGATGTATATTTTAATATCATCATCAAAATTTAAGCATATTTAAACAATATTCAAAGGCAAACCGGTACCCGAAATATACCAATTTTTGAGGATATTTTTCAATTTATCTTATTCTGGTCATAAATATTTACTTTCAATTAAATTTTATTAAATTTAAAGGTACATATATACTAATGTAATACTGTAAGTATATAATTAGTTTCCGCGCCTAAATTGAAAACAATGTTAATATGTGTATAAGATTTTGAATCAAATTCAACTTTAATTTTATTTCATTTCAGCGAAAGCAATATTAATTTTTTGCTTTAAAGAATGGGTGATAGTATTTGTTATGTAAATTGTTTTTCGACATTAGTTTTATTATTATTTCCATTTTCGTTTGGAACATTGTATAACTTTATTACAATTATTTTATAAAGTTTTCGTGAACTAACATTTACATAAATAGTTTTTTATTGTGTTTTAAAATGGCGAAATAATTAAGCCATTTTCGTAAATGAGGCTTCTTAACTTCGATATTTTGTTTTCTTTACTAATATTATTACATTCTTTTGGGTATTTACTTACAGGGGTGTCACTTTATAAAAATTCAAAATAATATATTAAGAAAAGAAAGTAAATCCTTTCGTTGAAATAGGGAACAGTTGATTAGTGCAGTTAGAGGACCTATTATTTTTATAAATATACTTTTTTAGTAGACAACTTTTTAGTACATTTTTTAGTTGAGAATTACATTTCTACAGATATTGGCTGAGGACCAAATCAAATACAACAAATTTCATCGATACCTTCATCTATTATAAAGGTAATCGCATTTTGGTTGTAGAAATTATATTTGCTTTTCGTACTTGTAGTGTTTCAGTTTTTTGACGAATTTTAGATACAAAAGTACTCAACTATACTTAAGTTGTACTGAACATATACCATGAAATATTGCAATTTTGTTTTTCTATAATTTTGTACAGTATTTTTCAGCGTGAAATTGAAATTCTATTTAAAGTGATAAAAATCAAATGAAGTTTTACTACTAAAAGTAGCTGCACAAAGATAATTCTCTTTTTAAAAATTGGCGATATTGCTTTCCTAGATATGTACTTACGTAGTATTATATCATCTTACAGTCAACCTCTGAATATTACCATTGAAAATGAATAGTGCTTAGTCTTGCATTTTATTATCACTATAATAATTATAATGACAGATACAGCAATATATATTTATTTAACGAGTATTTAACATGAATCAATATAGTAAAGACTATAAATTATTTGAGAATTCTTCATTGCGGTATTACATAATAACGGAAGATTACATTTTTATTTTAAATGTAGCATTGTATTATTTACAGTATTGAAAAAATAAAATTGTGTGACTTTAAGTAGTAAAAGTTTTTGTCACTTTATTCCAAAAGTATATCATTTGGTAATAAAATCGGCATGACATCTGCATGAAATTTTATGCACTGTAATTTGCAACTCATTTTTATTAACACGTCTAATTGATTTTTCAAAGATAAGATATGTAATAAATTTCAAAAGAAATTGTTTTCTTTGTACATTTAAATAGGAGGAATGAGAATTACATTATTATCTGTATCCCGAAACACGTAACAGACCGATATCAGTGAAGTTAGCTTTGATAATTTTTAGACAACAGAAGTTGGCCAATACTATTGCTTCCAATCATTTCTTGGAAACTAAATGTATAAGGTCAAAGAAACATTTACTCGATGAGATTACAATTTTTTCATTCACACGTGGATCAATAAGTAACAAAACCTTTTTTCAAGATTATTACACCACTGTTCTGTAATAATCAAAATCGCGAAAATGTCGTAACAATCGTTCTTTCGTGCAATTTTTATATTATTTTCCTACTCTTGTGAATCTTTTTTTATCGTTAAATAATGGCAAACCTTAGGCACAGTATAATTTCTGCACAATACGCTGTTATTTTCCTAAATCTTGTATTCTGTAACTCGCTTTGGAAATGTCTTATTGAAGTGACGCTTTTGTAAGTACTTACGTAATAAGCAGCATTAATTAGGAAATCACTGTAATGTGTGTAGGTAGTTATTACAATTCTTACATAAATCATGTTCAAAATAAACAATTTATACAAATACACGCTCTGCAAACATTGGAACGTACCCTAGAAACTACATGCATAATATATCTCGTAAGATACGTTATAGTTGCAACGAAAGTGATTCTATATGTAAAATCAAATCAAAAAGTACTATACAATTTTCGTAATTCATTGATTCTTCGTTTCTCCTAACCCATTCACTGTCGATTAAAATGATAAATTGTTGACAAAACGTGTATATTCTTCTCAATAAAGTGTTAACCCGTCAAGGATGGCGCATAATTCCCAGTTTATTTTAATTCTTTCAGATTCTTCTTTCTCCGTTACAGATGTAATCTTAATTCGTTGATATTTTTTGCAACTATCTTTAATGATAGAAAATTGAACAAATTGTAATCAAATAGAAGAGAAAATAAAGGGACTGGAAGAGGTATCAGCATCTGCACTTACGCGATACATAGGTTGCTGCAAAAGTTTCGGAAATCATTCAACACGAGAATTTATATCTTTTTCGTAAAGCTTTACATTGTTAAGGTTAAAAAGTGCCGACACAATACAAATGAAAATGTACTAATGTCGAAGGAGAATAGTTTGGAAAACAATGAAACTATTAGTTCAAACTTATTTGTGACTTTTCGTATATCTTACAACAACCTACGTACCATGTAATTTCTGAAAGGATAAGTAGTGTATACGTTCGCGAAAAAGTTATCCTTTCTGACACGACACCCCAACAAATAAAGATAGTGCCTCGTAGTTTTCTATCGCGATATCTCTAAGATGTTCGTATACAGTGTAAAAGATATGCAATTTTAAAAGCCGGTATTCAAATAGATTCTGTTACCGATAAACCACCGAGGTCACAAGAGTTTATGCCCACACTATTTCACGTACTCGTACAGTCCGACCCATTATTTGATCGATTTCATATTTTTCAGCGGTTAAAGGGTTAAACATGATTGGCTAATGTGTGTCATGTAAAATATCTATTTATTCCTTTCGTTTGCAACAAATGATGACGTTTGTAGATATAATATTAAAATTTCCATTGATCATGCTGTCATCCACTTATTAGTTCATAGATTATCATCTAGTTAATTATAATGAAAAACAAATAAGTCATGTCACTGTCATCTTTTATAATCGTTCGTAGAACTAGAAACAATTAATAAAGGAATATTACGTCACGTCACTTAGTTTTATGTGTATAGGTAATATTTATAGCTAATATTATTTAACGAATGCTAAATATGAGAATGACATTGCAAGTCTACTTGGAAAGTTGGGTAAGATAATTGTACTCAATCGAACCTGTTTGTTTTTATTGAAGTATTGTATAAGGCATTAAAGAAGTTTTTTTTTAATTCTAATATTTTGAATAACTTGACAGTAATAGTTTTTCATGATTTTTTTTTCCTCGACTTGTGTAATTTGCTTTTTCTTAAATGCAGTGTATGGGTAAAGGATACTTGACATCTTTATATAGACTCATTATTATTGGCATTATTATTGGCATAGTGGTAATTCAATTATTTAAACTAATGAAAAATGATTATCAATGCTACATGTTAGATTATGATAATATTACTTGTTTCACGAACCATGCAAAACTGCAGCAGTTTTAAGGGATTGTTATTTAAAAGGAAAAATTGTTAGGCTCTCATTTTCTTAAGCGAAATCGTAATCGCGTCGCTCGCATGATTAATAAGTCGCAAAAAGATACTTCATTGCTATACTTAGAAACTTCTAAGAAAATAGATAAAACTATTTTAAATGGATAACTGTTTACAGATAACTTTTTGAAATGAAGTACATTTTCCGGTATATTATTCAAGAATGATTAATAACTGAAACGTAGAATCTGAATTTCAAATGTTAGTATAAATTATTTGTTTCTCATCTTCTTTTTATGCTCGAATTATATTAATAGAAATTTCGATCTGAAATCTAATGGTTCTTGGTTGGTAGTCACAAAATATACTACAGCACTTTAAAAATGACTTGTAAAGTAGATTCGAGCAACAGTTCAATTTTTAAAATGACGCTCCTTTTACAATATTCTTGTCAGTAATATGAATTTTTAGAAACGTTCCAATCTATGTTTGCCGTCCTTTAACTTTCAGTTTTTCAGAAGAAATATAATGTTAATAGTGCCTGAGCTCTAACTTTTTCTATTTTGATCAATGTTATTTATAAAATCATACACACGCCTGTTCCTTTAACTGCACAAATAATGTTAATGATATTTTCAGGATTGGATGTAATTCACTCAGCAACGTCAGTATGCATTACTTATCTCATTTTGAAGTTCCTCGGTGGCACTACTTTGTCCGTGGTGGCTACATTTGTTTTCAACATGTCTTACCTCCTATACGGTACGGAAAAATTGTAATACGAAGATACATTTTCAATATTTGTTAGAGAGGTCTTGTAGTTTAAGCGTTAAACGAATGTTATTCTCAATACTCTTATAAATAAACTTTTAGAATGATCGTGTATTATTTGAAAAATTATAGAAGTTACGGAAATGTATTAATAATAGCCATGAATTGGCTTTTCCGGGCACTATATCTATCGTTCACTCTACTTTTATTATCTTTATCCGTAAATTTCTGTTTCTATTTCTAAATTTTCTATATGGCAACTCAATTTTATTTTGGTAAGAGGACCAATAACTCATTTTTTTCCAAAAATGAACTTGCACTACTTTAAAAAAAAATAGCAGAATAAATAAATGGCAATTTAAATGGTAAAATTTATAATACATGCATCACTTTTACATGGTATGTGATACTAGATGACAAATATTACTGTAAAATAAATTCAGAAATAAAAAACTAATATCTTTTTTCATCGTTACCAGGATATTACGAAACAGGTACACATGATTATGATATAAAGTGGACTATGCCCCAATGTGTGTTAACATTGCGGTTAATTGGTCTAGCGTTCAATGTACTGGACGGCCGACAACCTGAAGTACGTAACACTATAGCAATATATAACACTTTAGTTTATTATAAAACAATTTTTGAAGTTAAGAATTAAAAAATGTACTTTAGTGAATTTATTCGAATTTATTTCAAACGAGATAGGGGAAAAACTGATTAGATGAATGATATCAGTTACCAAGTATACAGTTGGCCTTTGTAGTATTCAAATATTTAAACTGTTAACCCTCCATATGTGGTTCATTTTGATTTTAGATGCTAATATTAAAGTTTTCTTTTCTTTTATGTTCTAGCAGAGACTAAATTGTAAAAGTAATTAAGAAATATCAGCCTTAAAATAATAGAGACACTTCAAACGAATATTGATCATTACATTTATACAATAAATTTGGATAAATAACTGTTTTAACTAAAACTTACCACTAATATCCTGCATGTCAAGCTTCTTTTAACGATTTCAGCACTTTTGAAGTTGAATTACAAATGTTGTTTTATATTATATAGCATTTAAGAGTTATATATAATTAATACGGTTACTTTGTCATTTCGAAAGTGAAATTTTTTACTTACTTTTCAACGGACATGGTGTTGTAATAATTCTTAACATTAGGTTCACGGACATTTATTGTACAGTTTATTCTATTATTCGTAGACAAATTGATGTTCGTTCGTGAAAATAGTAAAAGAAAGTTTCAAAATAGACAATTGTTAAATAGACAGTCGTCTAATTGTGATAATCAAAATCTAGATAAATATTTACCAAATAATGTTTATGAAATTCAATATGAAATAATTCCTTTATACAAATTAATTGTATGCAAATATTCTATTACAATAAAGTTGTATCTCGATGGTAAGGAGAAATTAAAACGAACTTGAGAATATGTCACTCGACAAAGGCGTGTATAACTCTGACGAAAGAACGGTATATGAAGGACTGATCAGTGATTAAGTGGACTACGCTGCATCTCCCTTCTTATCCGATTACATGCACGCAATGAACTCGTTCTTACGATGACCATTGGCCGTTCTAAAGTCCGTGTTGGACAGGTTATTAAATAATTCTGTAATGCGAGGAGCTAGTAGATTTATGTGTTTTTCTAATGAATACGACATTAATCATTTAAAGTCAAACAGGGCAACACTGACGACTTTAAGCTTTGATATCCAAAATCGAAAACTGAAAATGAATAATTTAATTATTTACATTCTTCTTTTCTATTATTTATGATTTCGATGCACAATACAATCTTTCATGGAAAGAGTTTTTAAAAGTCAAGCAATTCTTGTTTTCAAAGGGGTTAACAACGTTACTAGAAACGTAATTAAAGGGAAAATGGAATAATGGGAAGATAGAAGCAAAATTAAAAAAGAAAGTCTTATATTTAGCTATGTTAAACGATAAACAAAAAGAAACAAACTTGTATTTTTTCTTACATTTATACATAAACATGATTTAATATGTTATTACGAGATAATCCATTAAAACTTAAGGTATATTTTCTAACTAGCAAAGCATTTTACAAGTTTTCGATTGTTATTAATTATGCAACGTGATCGATTATTCATACGGCCAAGTGTACGTTGGTAACGAAGTAAATCGGTATAAAAAGTAAAATAATGTTTAGAAGGATGAATGACGAACGAAGGAAAATGAAATAATAATTGTCATTTCAGGGAAAACTGTCTGCATCGCAGAAACAAGTGGCCTTGAAAGAACAGCCAACATTTTTGGAAGTAGTTGGATTTGCATATTTTCCGGGTTCCTTTCTCGTGGGTCCACAATTTAGTATGAAAAGATATTTGGACTTTGTAAATGGACAACTCATGGCTGATGTAAGTCCTGCATTAAGATATTGGGTTGATCAAAATATTTCCAGATTTTTTTATTCGTAATTAACAAAAAAATGGTTTTCTTTGAAACGAATAACATCTCTTTTCAAATTATTACAACGCGTATGAAGGATACTTCTTTCTTCGTTTTTACTTAGTTTTGGTTTAGCCAGCGAACAGTTGAGGATTCTTCTTTTTATTTCTTATAGAAAAACGTCAAAACTTTTGCATCAACCCAATAGTATTCCAAGCAAAAGCTTTTAAATTTTGAATATATTGATACAATAATCTCTTACTAGTATTCCGTTTATCAGTTTTATCTAATGGACAGTTGGTGTGTTCCTTTCTGATAACAGGAATTTCCTGGAAGATATTGAAACGAATTCTACGAAAGACCATTTGATATGGAAATATTAAACTTTTTTATTTTTTTATTTATATATATTACCCTTAGTTTCTAAGGTAAACTGAAAAATATTCGATAAAATTCATGAAATGTGTCTCGCTCGCCTTAAAAATTGTTTACAGTGTTGTATAAATAGATATAATTTCATTTGGGCGTGTCCGTAAAACCATTTTCTGCAAGAAAGATTTGTACAGATTATATATTAATGCACAAAAAATTTCGAAAATTAAAAATGTGAAATCCTGTTTGAAAATTAAGTTTATCTACGTGCGCGGGATATAAAGCTCTACAGGAATCACTTAGTGTTATCAAAACGGAGTAGAAGGACAGTAGTGAAGCAAATTTAGCCAGGCTGCAGAGAGTTTTTTCTCCAATCTAGCAGAAATTTTCGTGTTTTTAACATTTTAAAATGTCTCTATATAGTTACGATTAATTATAAGTATCGTATTTCTTTACTGATTCACCATCAATATCGAATTTTAAACACAGAATGTTTAGAAAGGTATGGTTCATAGTTGTGTAAATATGTTTAATTCTTTTATGTCTTCAGATTTTAAAAAAAGGAGAATTGCCAGCTTGTGTCAATCATGCTGTTTATCGGATACTTATGGGATTTGTATATTTGATACTCTTCCAATTAGGAACGTCATATATTTCAAATGAGTATATGCTAAGTATAGAACTTCTGAAACAGTCTTTCCTTAAACGTCTTCTTATAATTGGTTTCTGGGGTCATGTAAATCTATATAAATACATTGGTTGCTGGCTATTTTCTGAAGGGGTGAGTATCACACTCTATAAATACATCATATTGCTTTATATAATATTGAATAAATTTCTATTTGTACAGAATGTTGAAAGAATATAAAGGAACTAATGTTTATTATTTCGAAATTTAAGTTATATATAAATGTCTTAATATCTTATATATAAATATATATAAATATCACTCAATGTTTGATAGTAGATGAATTTTATTTTATGCAAAGCAGGAGAATATAATGAAATATTAGAAAATATTATTAAAAAAATTCAAATCGAACTGCGAATTTCAGGAATGTTGAGTTATTAAAACAAGACAGTACATGATTTTTAATATACCCCGCAAAATCATTACGATTTTATTAATTAATTTGTCTCTTAAGATATCCAATTAATATTATTCGACATCATTATTATTATTTTAGGTCTGTACAGCCTTTGGTTTAACATACACTGGAAAAGATGAGAAAGGTCAATTTCTTTGGAATGGATGTGAAAATGTTAAATTGTTAACATTTGAGACGGCAAATCGTTTTAATCATTATATTATGTCCTTCAATATAAATACCAACAACTGGTCTGCTGAATATATTTATAAAAGACTGAAATTTATGGGCTCAAAGTTGTACAGTCAATTTTTTACATTACTTTTCCTTGCTCTGTGGCATGGATTTCATTCAGGATATTACTTATGTTTCCTCTTTGAGTTTCTTATCATGTATGCCGAAAGAGATGTAAGTTTTATTTCTTTCCACGTTATTGTTAATATTATGCGAATTAATGTTATTCATTTTTTTTATTTATATTACATGTATTCGTATTTATTCATTATTCTTACATTTTAATAAGTTTTCTAGTGAACTTACTAATATTTTATCCTCTTCGTACTTAATATTATACATCTTTTTAAACTACTATTAATACTAATCTCTTGTACCAAATCTTCATCATTTGTACTGATTGCTAAAAAATTCTTATATCAACGAAATCACGTTAACAACACTCTTTCTTAATATCTTATTTTCGTATAATTTGCTTATATATATTTAAATTCTTGCGTTCTTTTTCTCCAGGTGACTGACATATTAAACAAGCAAGAAAAACTACAGAGTTTCATGAAAGCACACCCTGAACTTCGAATTTTGTTCGCCATAGTTACGGCCGTCTACACGGTTATTTTTATGGGATACAGTATGACTTGTTTCATTCTTTTATCACACACTCGTTACAATGCGGTTTACTCTTCCGTTTATTACTGCGGTCACATAATGTATATGAGTTACCCAATAGTTTCTATACTACTTAAAAAATTCTTCCTTAAGAGGCGACCAAAGAAGGTTGATTAATGAAACGAATCGTTGTAACATAAAGAAACATTTAAGGAAACAATACGTGATAGATATCTTTGGTGCTTAAAGTAATCTTCTTACGAAGATATAGACAAAATTTTTGTATGTACAAAGAGTTTTTATACATTGTGTTTTTTGCGCAAGGTAAATACGTCCTTAGATATTTTGAGAATGATATATACAAAAAGATGTTAAGTTAATTTTGATAAAACTTTACGTAAAGTTTCGTTTGGGATGGGTTAATTTTTCGCGGGTCATATCTATGTTAAGTAAAATTATACTACAAATTTCTATAGAATTAAGTAGCTTAACTACATTGTTTGAAAAGTACGGGACATCCTGTACATGGTACCAAAAAATAGTTTATTCAATACTGTTAACCATCAGCCGTCGAAGTCGTATCGATACTGACCTGTGTTCTCGGCGTGAATAAGAGTCATGGAATAAACAACGAGTTATCAGACTTATAAGAATAATTTGAGCTTCTTCCCTTTATGAGTGAATACGATAACAAAATAATAATACACCGAACATAGTCTGTAAATAAATGTTATTTTTTTCTAGAAAAACACGTATTTGCCTTTGATAAAGCAATCTTATTCCTGGACTGGTTTATACTTTGGCGATCGCCGGTTAAATTTGTATTATTAGATTTCATAAAAATGATTGTGTACGTTAATCTAATAATTTATTAATTCCGAAAAATAATTTTGCATGTGTACTGCATTGGAAGTTGGAGATATTTGAATATGTTTTTGCAGTATCTTTATTTTTTGTATACAGTTCTGGGCTTACGGTATTACTAGTTTTCGTATTTACGTTTAATCTTTAGACTGCAATATTCAGTCGTAATTATCTAAGCACCAGCTGATTCTATTTTGGTCCACGTTCTGTTAGAATTTATTATAAAGATATCGATCTATTTATACAACATATATTCAAATATTCAAGGACTCCTTTAATGCAGGCTTTTAATATATATTTTTGTCAATTTATGTAACATACAATGAAATTGCTTAAAGGAGTATTTGCATCTGTGATGGTATATATTTATATTTGATGTAATGTTTAACTTGTAAATAAATGTTTGTGGCTAATGAATAATTAGTATTTGATGCTTAATTAACCAAGATAGTAGACTTATCACTTACCACTTTTGTTCAGACATTGCAAGCTACGTGAGTATTAATTCAAACTTATTCGTAACTATTCCCATACTTCCTCGTAACTTGTCCAGCAACCCATGTACAATGTAATTCAGTTATACTGTAAGTTTAAATTTCAATTTGAACGAGGCCGAAGGAAAGATACCAAAAGGTTTCTACAAAAGTACAAATATATTTATTAAAATATACATACATAGGTTACAATCATTTGCACTTGCATCGATTAGAAAGGTGAACATCACCTTCAAAGCTTATTGGTAACTCTTGACGTACGTTCATTTTTCGAAACGCAGAATACGAAGATGCAATCGAATTCCTTTCTTTTTCATTTACACCAATTGAATAAAGAAACGAAAATAAAATGTGTATATTACGATAAATGGTACTGATATTCCGATTGTTTTTGTACCTGTCCGTTTTGCAAGATATTTCCCAAATTGGTTACTCTAAAGTATTGCGAATAAGTAGCTAGGAATGTACAAGACTAAACTGTATCGGTATCTAAATCTATTTACGGAACCTATAAAGATTGTATAAGAGCGGTAATACTTTACATTACCAGGTGCGTAACTCAACGTTTATGAAATATCGTAATCGTTGAGCCATCCTACTTAGAAAGAAGTCTCCGTAATTTGAGATTCATATGTTCTGAGTATTTCGTTCGAAGGAAACATGTTTCGACGAGGTAAAGCTCTTCAATAGGGACCGCCAGAGCTCGATGGTGGTGCACCGTAGTTGTCAGAGGGTGGTGATTGTTGGGGTGGCCCATATTCAGCACTCTGTTGTTCTTTCTGTAAAGAGAAGTAATAAATAGTTATAAATAGTAAAAAATGGTAACAAATGGTAATATATAATAATAAATAGTAATAAATCGTAATAAATAATAAAAAATAGTAATAAATGGTAAAAAATGGTAACAAATGGTAATAAATAGTAATAAATAGTAATAAATAGTAATTAATACTAATAAATAATAATAAACAGTAATAAAGTAATAAATACTGAGATTCCTTATTTCCTTAGTATCGAGAAAACATTGTAACACAAAGAAGTTTCAATCATTACAAAACAATATGTAATAAATACAAAAAGAATATGCTACAGTCAATAATTTAAACAAATCTGTCAAACCAAGTGAAGTTTCAGAAGAAGATGATAATTATTGATCTCTCTACCAAATATCATCGTTCATCGTCAAAAAGTACTAATTGCATAATACAATCTCTTACCTGAGTTTTGTATCTGATGAAATAGACTTCGGGCTTGCTAGGTTGCGTTGGTGCTTGCGTCGGCAACACCACTTCCGGCGCCTCTTCCGGTTTCTTAACCAGCACGTAGATCAAGGTCTTCTCTTCGTCTTGAGGCGGCAATGGCGGCAAAGCTGGGGCAGTTGGCGTCGGTGGTGTTGGTGCCTTTATGAATACGATCTTGTAATGTTTCTGTGGTGGCGACACGGGTGGTATGTATTTTGGTGGTTTATATTCTGGAGCTTCCGGCGGTGGTACGTGGACGTAAACGTGCTTGTGAACGACTGGTTGCTGTTGAGGTGGCCCATAACTGGGTGGAAGCGAAGGTGGCCCGTAACTACCGGATCCGCTCGGCAAACCAGCCCCGCTTGGTGGAGGGAAGTACGAACTCACGGGTGGTTCCGGAGCTGGTTTCGAGTAGACTGTTGTAGTAGCTACTAATAGTAGCGTGGTCTGAAAATTAATGCATAAAATGATTCATTGATAAGTCGGATTTTAAGGGAAGGCTAAAGAACTTTGAGCTATAGGGGCTTTGACTTAACATAAATGTAGCAATAGTTAACCAATTCAGATTGGATGAATGATTAATATTTAATGTTTGATGTTTAATTAATATTTCATGTTTAATGTTTAATATTTAATGTACTTTCCATATTTCGGGAGAATGAAAGATAAAGATGGTGAATTTTTGAGTCGTGTAACATTGAGAACCGACATATTGAGTTTTGTGACTGTTTAGAAGGGACTCAGTCGCATAATTTGAAAAATGTTTTTTAGATTTTAGAACGAATGGTAGGTGATACTTCTTTGAATATTTAAAAACCGTCGAATAGTTAGAAATACTAGAATAATTTAGATCTATTATATGATAATATCTATATGTTGATATACGATCGAGATATGTTTTCAATTTTTGTTAGCTTTTGTATGTTCTTATTCGAGGTGTTTCGTAAATAGTTTTCAGTTAACTTTCTACATTGTGTACAAAAACATTTAAATATTTTATTTAATCTGTGAGTGGTCATTTTAACAATTCAATCATTTAATCAATTAATAAATGATCAATAAACTAAGAATGAAATGATTTTATACAAAATTAGCAAGAAAGCCTGGTCGTTCGCGATATAGGTTGAACTCTCGAAACTTACAGCCACCAGAAAGTAATTCGGACAGTAAAAAATTGAGAAAGTGAACGCCTCGTGATGCGATATGTTCCTCAACGTAAGAAATCGGTAACACGTAATCATCGACTCGGATTTATTCGATTCCTTTTCGATTACTTTCACATGTAAAATGAAGCAAAAAATATGAGCAACGTATTGGTTTATAAAACATTATCACTGGTGTTTCGATGTTGAAAGTTTACAATTTATACACTCATAAGGACCACATTAAAATAGAGTATCCAAAATAGGAAAACTGTTAAGCAAAAATTATTTTATAGATCCTTAAACTATAATAATTAAGCCTGAACTTTAGAACTATATGTCTACGTATAATGGATCGTCATTTTATTTATACGAATTTAATTGTTGAAACTATAATTGATCATCAAAATTAATTATGCGGAGCTGTTGCTTCGACAGTTACCGAGATGAGCTAGCACCTTTCGCCTTGATAGAAACTTAATGTTCCGTGAAAGACGCGGGCGAAATAAATTTTGATTTGGTCTTCCTGTATTCATGGCGGTAATGTACTTTATTTATGTCCTGAAGAAATACATTTAGGAGATGTAAATTAAACAATAATATTAAATTATGTAGGATTAATTGGTTTTGAATTAATATGAAGATTTAAATGATTCGATACTTCTGGAATATAACACATATTTATGTGATGTATCGATTGTTAATTAATTCGAAACCTAGAACGAGTTATTTTTATATTTACGATTATAGAATTTGAAAAACACTCTTTTGAACAAATTGTATGATCCTTGATTCTTTTCTGGTACTATTATTTGAAACAAATTTTCGCTTAAGATTTCACGAACGTTGAATATTTGTAAATTATTTCTTGTTGTTTATTACTGAAATTATTATGTTGGTTAATACATATTTTTCTATGAAGATAATAGTTTGTTTGACAATAATCATTAAATTCAATCGAATACAATTGAAATGTCTCGATGAAAGAGAATTCTCTTTTTCAAGAGAAACAGAAAGGAAAATGAAATCATTGTATACAAAGTATAATTAAGGTAATTATTTCCAGCGGATAGATCTGGAAAAATAGTTACCATCTTTTACTTTTACTTTCAGTTTCTGACTTTCTCCTTGCGAGCCTCCCCGCTCTATTTTTTCCGCCTATGTTGTTGAATTTTCTGCATTATTTTTGGTTAGTTAATTCAGAAATTTGGTGAGTAAATTATTTAATTAACGACTGCTACGCAATTCAATTTTTTAGTGAACATTTTTCTATTTCAATTCACAAAGGCCATCATTAATGTAACTAGCATGTAAATTACATGTTAAAGCATAAATTTTAATGAACGACTTTTGGTATGCTTGTTACGCTTTACATTCCTTCTTCCTTTCATATTTCAATGCACTGTTTATTTAAATAATAATACTACTCAAACGATAACACGTTTCTCCACAAAAATGTGAGCATTATTTAATTGTTATAATCCGTGAAACCAAGGAAGTTTCGAACCAATGTTTTTTTAGAGACAACATTTCAGTATATACATTGGTATGATGAAATGAATTTCCCTCAAATGAAACTTTAATCAAACCTAATGTCTTCCTTATGTTTTCTATACCGATGAATTAATTTCATTACCCCGGAACTATAAAAATAAAATTATTGAATATAAGTACAGAATTATAAATATAAAACAAAGTTTTCATTTCTTAATTCAAAAATTAACCAATTAACTGCGTTCGACCAGCATACACGTCATCTTAAAAGTCAAAATGATACTAATTCTTTCAACGATGAATCATTTATTTTCTCAGATAAACGTGTCATTCTTCTTTGTTTTTAGAATATATTATGGGCGCATTTCAGCTCTGTTTCACCAGTATACATTTAATTGTTTGATTTTCTTGCGTGCAGAACGAAAGACTTTAGAAACTAAATTCCACAGTTACCAGGTTCAATAAATTACAATTAATCAAAAAGAGAAGGTTTTCAATTCAGTTATCACGAATCCAGGGTTGATAGGCAACCAGTTCCAAGAACACTCTTCATTGTTCAGATTTCGTTTCGTCACATCGAGTTTCTAATTTACCCGAAACGCGGAGTCATGATTTAGCTTGATGAACACATCAAGTTAAACGATAGCGTAAGTAAGTGCAAGTAGGATGTGGAAGCAAAGTGTAACGGCTGACGTGGTGATCGCTTCGAAGTGTTCTTTTTTTAACAGGAAGCAATAACAGGTGTAATCGGCGCGTCGGGGAGGATAATGAAACGGTCGTTAAACACCGACCACAGGGAACAGTGAAATTTTCTCAAAGATGCGCCGACTAGTTAAAGAGCCATCAAGATCGGTAGCGGCTGCTAGTCGTTCCGTTCAATCCCGCTGCGTATTAGGAAAATACCAGTTACGTAAGCGTTACAATTTAACATGGTACAAAATCGGTTGCGAAACGGCTTTGCAGCACCACCCTCGTTGCACTTCTGGTGCAAATGTATTTACATGGTAGTTAAATACAGTAAGAACAAAAAAAACAAGTAGGGTAGCGCGAGGCGTATCGGATCGCACGATGAATCGGATTGAAACAAGAATCCAGTCCACAGTTGTTGTATCGCAGATTATATTTCTCATTTTCTCTTTCTTATTTGCTAAAGGAAGATTAAAAGAATTCTTTTTCGTTTTTCGTCGTTAACGTTCAAGTACTTTTAATTCTCTGATGTCAAATAGAAGATGATCGGTCCACTCTACCAAATGAAACAGCGTTAACCCCTTAACCTACAATATCGTGTCAGACTCGCGACGTAAATTTTAAACAGAATTTAACAAGGATAAATATTACTCAATTCTTTTAAATTTAAGCTGTTTGAATTTGAGAAATCTAAGTGTTATTTATTTGTTTTCAGTATAAATTGAATATTATTTTTCTATTATCAGTGGTTAACCTTTGGAGTAAACGTAGAGATAGTACTGTTGACCAAGCAGCTCCAAGTCTGAATTAATATTATGTTAAATTAGTGTTAATATTCATATTGATAATATTTATCAATATCTGTTAATGATATTTAATATGATTATTATCGTTTTACGATAGCTACTATTGTAATTTATAAAGAAATTAGTAATTGTTACAATTAATAACTTAGAAATGTCTTCAATTCACAAAGTCTGAACGGGTATTAATACCCGCCTAGCCATTTACATAAACTTTTTAAACGGCTATTTTATGTCTGACCGGCCAGTTAAGTATTAACACGTAAATAATGGGGATAGGTGAACAGAATAGTGAATGAAAAAATATACCAGATTGTTTGTTGTATTTTGTAACATGTAGTAGCGAGTATAATGGTTTGAAAAACCGTGCTAAAGTGAATCATTGAGAATCAATGGAATATGTAGAATTGGAAAAGACCGTGTTATACCAAAACGACGTTAAATGGAGCAGCATTAAGCGGCCCTCACTGTATCTACACGATGCCCAAATACGTGAGGACGCGCCCGTCTGTACACGGAATACGCGATTAACTTTCTTCTGGAAAACTATTTCGGTACTTTCGAAAGACCAAATTACGCTGAACAACATATATTTCGTATTCCAATAACCGGTTGGCGGTTCTTGTAGCTTTCGTCGCGTTGAATACGAAACGAAAACATTTTCCTTTAACACCCTCGGTTTTCGAAAAATTTAACCCATTCGAAAACAAATACAAATCGAGTATGCAAGGCAATAACTGAACAAAAAGATCAATTATACACTGTGTGTGCAATGATCATAAATTTCTTTTATCAGTTAATAATATAAATAATAAAATAAAGGTTCTGTGTAATAAAAGTATTTTGAGGAGCCAATAACCCCGTGATGTGGCGACATCTAATTTGTAGGAAAAATGTCTACAATGGTAATTTCTTGTCTAAATATTTTCTCTTTTTAAATTTTTCAGTTTAGAGCAAGGAAGAATTTGGCTCCTGAGGATCGTATTTAAATAAAATCCTAATGTCGGTTAATTTTGAGAAAAGATCAATTTATTTAACAGTTTTTCTGTTTAAATAATTAAGGAATAATATTTCTGATAGTTTGATTCAATTTATTCTATGATTTCTAAGTTTTCATATCAGTCTAGATGTTTAAGGGCAATTATAATTTAGTTATTATGATAATTATACGTTATAGCTTAATCGACTCGAATACCATTCTGTATAAACAATTAATATTAATGCTCATGTTCATTTTATAGTTCCATAAGATGGCAACCAAATGTTGTATTCATTTGTATCATGTTTAAACAAAACATCATACCATATAGTTAAAGAATTAATAACTCGTAACGTTATTAGAAAAACGTAACGAAAGTACATACATTAAGAAACGATCTTGTACCATTTCACAATCTTAAGAATCCGGGATAATAGCAGAAATCAGTTTCACTTTTTAAGTATTCAGTTCATTCTTTAAACTTATGAAATTAAGCTTAGAATAATTCTAGGATATTAGAATATTCAATTTTAAGCAAACTGTTTGAATTATTATGAAAAACAAATTACAAGCATTATCCCAAATATATGTAAAGAATTAGAAAATATAATTGATTACGAAATAATAATGTTTTATGTAACATAACATAACCTAATGGCGTGTTCTGTGCAATAAATTTATTCTAAAAGGTAAAAAAGTAAATTAAATATTAAACAGCTGAAGGGTAATATCAGATAAATGTACACTTTCTGCTAAAAGTTGCATTTAGTGAGCGTAAAAAAGTAACACCTAGAATTTTTTCTAGAATGATCTAAGGCGCTAAAGAGTGCGGTGAAATGGAACTTGAGTAACATTTAAAGACGCATTCCGGTCGATACGGTTCTTTGAATTAAATTTCTTTGGATCAATCCCGTTGTTAAATCTCAGGAGATTTAGAGCGTAAAATCAAGATACACAGAGAACATTATCACACATTATCATAAATTAGAATACTTTTAACCGATTTCTTTTGATTCCTTAACCAGACACAGCGTGTTAACAAGTTGTTTGATAGGAAACTTAGAGTTTCTATTAAGATAAAGATATTTGAGTTACTTCAGTGGTTTCTCTGTTTGTCGAAAGCAGTATATTTATTTAAAAATAATATTTAATGCATCTTACAGTCCGTAATCAACGAACTGATCAATATCTCACAGAAATCCACAAAATTTCAAACATAATAATATTTTCTGTTTATAACAATAATTCTCTGCCATCAATATTAAAATTATACAATTAAACATAAAAACGAAAAGATGTTAAGTAGATATAACATTTTTCAAAGATTAATCACTGTGTCACTGAAAACGAAAAGAATGTATCAAACAGTTCATTATGTAAATCGTGTGAAATATGGTGTGCAAACAACACAAAAATCAAATAAAAATCATTCTGGGGTTATAGAATATAAATTTTAGCCTTCTACGCCAAATATCGAAGTGAAATGTAGACATATCTGGAACATTCGAAAAGGTCCGGAGCCGTTGAAAACCGGTCATCGACGCCGCAGTAAAAGTATGAAAAAATGAAGTCTCGGGAGATCGGAGGAGCCAATAAAAGATATTGCACACTCGATCACACGTTGCGAAACCGACGCGAAAAAAATTGTACAATTTTGACCAAGTAAGTACTTTCACTGTAATCCACTGTACTCCGTTCGAAGATACGACGAAGAGTAATTTTCATCGAGAAGTAACCATCAGCTCGAAAGGAAGACGTATCGTGAGTTCAGTTAAGCGGAACGGGTTAAAAGTACCTAATCGATTAAGAAACGCAAGGAAAAGTTGAATGAAAATAGTTCACCCGTGCTTCTACAGTCACACTTTTATTGGATAGGTTCATGAAGATTTTCTTTCACTAACACCGAGTAACGAATATACTGGTCCAAGAAAATATTTAAAATATGACGTACAATAATGATGGACGCAGAATCTTTGGGGATGATAGATGTCTATAAATTTCATTGAAATCGAACAATATTCATGAGGTAGAACGATTTTTTGAGGTCGATTTCTTGCATATTTTAAATACTTTCGTGGACCAATGTGTATACGATGTCGCTGGAAAGTAATAAGATATATGTGCGTTTAATTTTGAAAATGGTTTAAGTCATTTTAAGCATCAAAAATCATATTTCATTATAAGTTACGCATATTTTGCAGTCATAATAAATTCTCATTTATCACGACTAAATACTTTTTGGAATATTTTGTTATATAGCATAAAAGTATGTTTTGATCTGTTTAAACACGAATCCTTAAATATCTCGAAATTAAATATATATAACTTAATTCGCTTTTAAAATTAATGGCACACATAATTATGAAAATAGTAGCAGAATCGGGTTAATATGATTTAAAAACACTTATGATTATGAAATGACTTTGAAATTACCGATACACTTACAGCTTTGTTCAAAAGTTTGAAGTGAGCATTTTAGGATTTCATAATAAACAAATTTCGTTTTAAGTAAGTAACTAAGACAATACTTAAGTATAATTAGTATAGATTTCAAAATGATTTTTTTCGGCGACAGGTCGAACGAACCAAAATTTGTTGGATATATTAGTAAATTATCTATTATTCTTAACTTAGTCTCTGTTTCGTTAAGAAAACTACGTCATTTTTATAAATAATTCAACAAGTGCTGATTAGACGGTCAACCTCTTAAAATGTATTCCACGAAACCCTAGTATCAATTCTAATTCGTTTCATATAGATAAAAGAAATGTCCACTTCCGATCGAAAAATCGATCCCAAAATATCCATCGACGAAGATAGTGTATCGTAACACATTCCATCCCACCGTAAATTTCAATTATATTTTTCTTACAAAGTGCATCGACATTTTAAATAAGCTATTAAGTTGTATTCAGGTATTCGGTAATTTTTATACATTTTATTTCGTAACATGCACCGCTGTCTTGTGGCCACTCGTGAAAATATCTCCTTACAAAAGTTGGTACGCAGGTTACTGCAAAGGTTTCGTGAATCTGTCATTCAGTTGTCTGTTATTTTCGTAAAGCTTCACACGTTTAAGTTCAGAAAGTGCTGGTACAACACAGTGGAAAATGTGTTACAATTTCGAGAAGAATAAAACCATTAGTTCAAACTTATTACTGACTTTTCCCATTCTTTCCCGAAACTTTTGCAGCAACCCACGTGTGCCTGCGTAGTACACACGACACTGAACGTATTAACACTAACCATACCGGCACTTTGTATATACCTATTTCTACCGTAACCAGTCGAGTAAGTGACAAATAAAAGTAAATGAATTACACGATAAATTGTTCTTAACAGAAACAGGAACAAGAGGAAGGACAAAAATTGTAAATCTAATTAATCCGGCAATATAGGAATCGATACGAAGTTGTAGAACTGAAAGCAGAATTTTCAATGAAATTTTAAAACCGGTCATTTGACCAGTTCGCAGTACAGTTATTGTTAACGCTAGATTTACGTTCACTGTACAGTTTGTTCCATCGATCTTAAAATAATTGATATTCGTTCCATAAGATCTTAGAAATTGAAGGTTTGAAAGTAGACAGTTGTACATATGTCCCTAACTGCATCAATCAAAATCGACTAAAAAATTGATCAAATAATGTTCATAAAATTCGATACTCGTTTCGTAAATCTAGCGTTTTCGTTGGGTGTTTAAGTTATGTCAATGTCGGAAGAAAAGGACTCACCAGATAGAGCAACATGCTCCCTCGTTGAATTTCGCGGCGACTAAGAAAGGTACGGAGCCGAAACGTGAACGTTGCAAAGAGGAACGTCTTTCACTGGCGATCTTTCACCGTTGTGTTGGCCGGATCGACACATTCGGACTTTTATACGGGCCTGTAGAGGGGAAAAGGAGCATCCTCGATCTTCTTTCTTCGCCTGTTCAATCATCGATCGGTCGATCTTCGTTCACAGGACTACGTAACCCTGATCTTATTACGATTAACGGCATCCCCGGATTTTTTTTTTCTTTCGCGTACAACGGAGTCACGGAGGCGAAATTCGCAAGAACAGTTCGGGAAACCTTGCGCCATTCAAGCAACTAGTCTCCAACTATGAACAAAAGGCACCGCCTGCCGTATCCAGTTATTTCATCGAGGCGTAATGAAGTCGTTACGGACTTCGTAAAATCTTTACGGTATTCGTTTAATTAACACCTCGCAAATAGACTCTTGGAGAAGTTTCCTTATGTGGTTAGCGCTTGCGTTGCCGATCAGAATGTCTCGATTTATCTGAATTTGATGCGATTAGAGTTCTGTGTAGATTCTTTCATTTTGAAATATAATTCAGATAATGGAGATCCGGAGCAATTTTGTGAAATTTTGAGGAGGGCAGACGAAAGTATGTAGAAGAAAGTTTCGAAATGAGTACTTTGGTACCCGGTTGCTACCGCGAGGGCTAAAAATTGGAGTAATGTTCTGGAAATTGTAGAATTATATAAAATCTAATTCCATATAAAATTGTATGTGTATTGTCGTTCAGATGCTTCTTATATTAGTTTTCATACACTGTTACAACAGCTACGTTCCCATTAAGTTTGATTCTATAAACATGTATTCATTTGATATTTTGCTAAAATAAAAGTGAAGTATGATTGAAGAATTTGTGTAACATTTTGGAGTTTTGTGGGATCATATTTTATTGTAATTTTGAATTTAATGTAACATACATATGTTTCTTTTACTTTGTTTTTTATATCCTAGTTTCTGCAGAAATAAATGTGTCGCAAGAGTAAGTGTAAAAAATGTTAATTATATAGTTCCTTATGTATGTGCAACTTTTGCCATTGCTTCTTATACATTTGTTGTTATTTGCATAATCTTAAGAATTTTGTAAATTTTATGTCGCAACTTCTGATTTATTCCAAAGTATGCAGATGTATAAAATAGTTTCAAAAAAAGATAGAGAGAGACAGGGAGAAGAGTGTGAGCGAGAAAAAAGAAAAGAAAGCTATTTTTATCTGTGGAGTTATTCGCAAGAAAATGTACTTAAAATCGAAATGGTAATCAACAGGATATAGAAAATAGAACAGGGCACTAAAACTAAATAAAATCTTTGTACTTACACAAATTCTTGTATACATCTCTTCTTTAACGTATTGTTCGAAAATTTGTTCTAGTACATAGTAGGACAAGACTTATTCAGAAAATATCTATAAATTTTTTAAAATATTTTTAATATTAGTACTATTTCTGATCATGTCTTTAACATTTGACAACCAGATTTCACATTGAATAATTACATTAATTCTGTAAGATCAGTGCCTGTTTGTAAGGAAATATTAATAAAAAATACTCCTTAACCTGTTTTGAAGACTATAATATCAATTTATGTGTTGTCTATTAATTTGATATTAATATAAATATATATTTTTTAAGTTAATTATATATACTATAATTAATTATAATTAATTATATATTGTGATATGTATAATATATATTAATAATATTAATTCATTATAATAAATCTTCTATTTTGAACGATATTAGTTGTACAATCAATTTATCTGGATCTGTTTAATTCACGAGTAGGTTTCACTGAAATTTTATTACATGTTGAAATACAGATAGCAATTACGTTCGTAGAAACATAAACGTCATACCGTTTTATGTGCCCCTATAAGTAAAGGAATTGTAACCGCATAATTAAACGCAGTCGAACGTGTAATACAAATGTATACCTATACAGATGTGTAACAATTACAACTACAAAAATACAACGTTATATTATTTATATAGGCAACGATTATCGCGGCTATATAAACGAAACTGTCGTAAGAAGCGCGTTAAAAGGAAATGATTGGGAAATGAAAGGAAAAGTATAATGGTAAAAGCAGTCACCATTTTATCGAACTTGTTCATTAAATTTCATGCATTCTCTTGTGAGAACATTGTACCCAAAAAATCAGTTTCTATAATAATGTCTTGGAGAAACATCTGTTATTTTTCTAATAATTAAGTCGCTCAGAAACCAATTTCAGTCCGTTTTTTGATATCTTCTAATTTTTCTAAATTTTAATGGAATAAATAATATTCTTTTTAGTTATTAAAGGATTTACTCGTTTCTTCGTCTCTTCTAGGTCAGAAAACCTTTCTTTTTATAGCTTTTGAGAATATTGTATAAAAATTTCAGAAGACAAAACATTAATTTTCTCAATTTTTGATTTCTGGTCTTAACTGCATTGGCTTCTGAGCGACTCAATTGCACAAAGAAGAAATCGAGAATGGGTCACTTTGATCCAGTCTTAATTATTTTCTGGATTATTTCTAGGCTGCGTGATCTAAGCACATCTTGTCCAAAAAATATACAAAACGACTACCGCGCGAATTGGTTAAACAATGTCCAGTGAACGCATGATCCGTTGAAAACATTGCTCTCCTAAAGCAACGAAACGATACTTAGTTCTAATCAAAAGTAAAAGTCATCATCGAGTCATCGAGACCGCCTAAGTAAAAAGTGAGATTCGCATGACGTCAAGAATCGTATCGCAATTTCATGTGGGCAATCGGTCGATTTCAGCCGATCTGATCGTCGTATCGAAAATAACTCGGAATTTCTGTTAAAGTATGCTACTTCCATGGAATAGCGATGCGACGTCGGTCACGGTGTTCCCATTAAGATTCAGAGTAAATCATTCCGCGCAAAAATCACCGGTCCCCGTCCAACGTGGACGCGCGCCGGTGCGTGAAATTCAAAGCGTTAAATCCGCCGGTATAATTTTGGGATTTAAATGCGAAACCGGGGGAAATCGTAGGTGGCGAAACCGAAGGGGAGAAGGCAAGGACCAAAAATAAGAATTATCGCAGAAATTTTTGTAAAAATATTCGGTAACTGAGGCTCGCTTATCATTGATATTAAGTATTGTATTTTCTTAAATGACAGTCCCAAGTTTAAGATTACATTAGAAATTAAGTATTATACTTCAAAAATTATATTAATCACAAAATGTAGAGAAAAGTTTCTTAAAAGTCACATTATAAAAATCATTATGTTTTTGTTGCAAACAATTTTTCTGATTATCGGTTACTCATAATTATTATTTGTGATCAAAAACATTTCAACAGATAATTATTCTATGACTCTTTCTCTGTGTTTCACTTCAATTATAAAAATCATATTTTTGCAGCTATCGAATTCAGAAAAGGGAGAAGAAGACAAGGTACTTCGTATTGCGAGAAAACAGATTGCCCCAAGATCACACGCAACCCCATTACAATTATTTCTAATCACAAACATTTCAATTAGAAAAAGTAGATATTTATCACGTCTCATTCTCGTTTTATTGATAAAAGCCATAGAGTTCTTTGGCCAGAGGGTTGCGGGTACCGAAGTCAGCGATTACAACGGTCAGAAGGAAAGACAAGGTATTTCGTGTCGCGAGGGAACAGACTGTTCCGAGATTACAAGAAATCTCGATTACATCAAAGCCCGTTGGGTAAGTTGGGCACGGATGCGCCGCGCTGGTCAGAAATTCTCGTGACGGTATTTCTAGCCGGTCCGCTCCATCACGGAGAGAAAAGGCGGGAAGAGGTGAGAAGGGAAGAGGCAGGGTCTCGCCGTCGACCCGCCGAAACGACGCAACGCAACGCTACGCAACGGCCATGTGTATATACGCGACGACGCGACGTTCCGAATCTGGTGAGGTTACGAGAGGACGTCCTTGATATCGGCCTGAATTCTTCCGGACGCATTCAAGCATTTTCTCCGTAACGTAATTCCAGAGGCAGGCGAGCGAGCGAGCGAGCGAGCGAGCCGGTCGGCCGAGAGGCGGGTAAAATGAAGACGAGCGAAAGTGTGCCCGGTAAGGTGGCCCTCACGGTGAAAGTCAAACTAATTACGAGACGGGCATGGGCACGTAAGGTGCCCGGAGAGCTAGCGTTGCAAAACAATCCTCTTCGCTACGAATATTAACCCGGAACACCTGCCGCTTTCCACTGCCGCCTTGCTTCTGCCCGAATACCTTCCCATCCTCACGCTTCTTCCTTCGTTCCTCCGCGACGCCCTGCGCCCGATCAATCTTCGCTCCGGATAGTATCATCGTCTTCGCGTGTTTATCTTTCACCGGCCGGCTCGGCTTCCACCGGCTTCTAACCTCCTGTAGTCCCATGTTTGACCGCTTGAACCGTATCGAGGCGAACTCTTCGACAGGAGAATGTCGCTTGACTTCGAACCCACGGTTACACCCACTCGTGGACGTTCGTCGTGTTTGGTGAAGATTAATACTAGATTTACGGAGGTTTGTTGTATAGTTTATTGGTTTTAGGGAAATTGTTCATTTAGATTTTGAAAATTAGGGGTTCAAAGGTATGCGATTAAAATACACATTTGGGTTATCGCAATCAAGCAAAATCAACGTAAACGTTTACTAAATAATGTATCTAAAATTCTAGCGTTTACTGCTTAGCTTTAGGATGAACGTAGATATACAAGATGATTCAAGTTCTTTTCCTTTTCTACTGAGTTATTAACGATAAAATAGTTTTATCACAGTTGTGGAGGAAATCGTAGGACAAGGGGTTAATCGAGTTGTAGGAGGTTCTATCGTACTGCTAGCTCATTTGCTGGGTAGCCTGAAGAACTCGGTTGACTGTTCAGTATTCATCTTTTCTTAGCCAATCTTCTGTTGGTTTTATTGCCTAATGGTTCATCTTCCCAATATTTCAATCTATAATTTACTGTTCGTTGATACGGTCATACTTAATTAAAACTATAGTGCTGTAAACTAGAAAGACATTTTTTGCTACCATTCCGTTCGGCTAGACATCGACTCATCTTCCAACTGTAAGTTTGGTGGGCATTCAAACAATCCCATGAAAATA